TTTGGTGCAAGCTGAAGTATGTAACTGGTTGCTTATAATACTTCATCTTACAGAAAAGATGTGACGATCATTATTTTAGTTTTAAATTTAAAAAAATAAAGAAGGAAATATGTCTCAGTTAGAGCAACGCAATTGAAAATCGTTCGTTTTGCACAAAAAATTGTACCGAGACAAAGTTTGATTTGGTGGAAACGTTAAAAATTAGCAGACACATAACAGCGAAAAATCAGATGAAAAATAAACGTTCTTTTCGGTTAATTTTTATATTCAGCTAATTTTTTTAACAGCTTCACCAAATCAAATTCTGTAAATGTGTTTCGTACAATTACCTATTTTCCAGTTTTTGTGCAAAATTAACCTTTTCCACGCTGTGACTCCCGAAATTCCTTAAGGAAATTACAGTAAAACCAGACACATGCGTACGTTGATCATGTCTCTTCGATTTTTTGAAGACATTTCATTAACTGCTTGAAATATTAATACTGTAGTAGTGAAATACTTTTAAGCACATAAGTGTCTGCCCTTTAATGTTGCTACGTTTCGATAGTGTTTCCTCGAAGGCACATTAAATGTGTGCCAACACTATGCTGTTTCAAATAATAGTGAACGTTCAAACATACATATGTATCCACACGTACATATATATATTTAACTACCGATTATTATAAAATGCGATATAGAAGAATCATATAATTGCGCGAACGTTTACAATTTCTCCATTATAATGCCCTTTTACTGGACAATAATATGCGGAGCCGATAACAATACTGCAACTGTTGCGATTATGGTAAACAGGGTGAATATTATGAGACAAACTCTATCAACCACCATTGCAGCAAATTTCCAATCACTAATGACTTCTGCCTCTTCGTCAGCTTTCTTCATTCGGGTTGTAATGAACTGCAGTTCCTTCAATATAAAATGTAATTCTCTTTGTTGGCCACTGGTAGGAATTGCTGAATCTTCGATAGTGGTTGCGTGACGAATAAAACTGGGCCCCAAGCTTGTCGTCACCGTCGAAGTATTACCATCTCTACCAGATAATCCAGACGCACCGCCTGTTACGCTCCTAAAGTCGTCATCAATATCTAGTACGTTGGCCAAGAGACTCTTCGATGAACGCTCTTTCAATTCTAATTCTTTCATCCGACTGTTCATCATTAGTGTTTTCCGGGTAATCTTTTTACCTGGCCGACTCATTCCCAACATCCATGGCAACCATTGCAAAAAGACCGTTTTGACCTACGACAAATAAAATGTCACACACATTGGCGCTGTCAAAGAGATGACAGATGGTGTATTCATACTAAAATGGTTGTTATTCAGTCAGTTGTGTATCTTGTACTCGACTTTTTGGGTTAATTAGTAAAACGCTATCGGACATTCTCGTTGGCAAGTAATTAGGCTACTTATAGGGTTAATGCAAATTAATACCTCCACCCATATTTTCACATCTGTACTGGAATACATTTGTGAGATTGTATGTAAGTTTGAATATAAAGGGTAATTTCCGAGACTACTCATTCGACTCTTCAAAAATTCTTTCACTAATATTTAGAATGGACCTTCAAGGTGAACATAGGCAGTATATTTTTCCATTAAAATAAAAGGGCTTTTCATGAAGACCAATTCTTTAACATGAAGTCGACGAAAAAACGGTCGAGCTGATGCGTTTTTTTTATATACGAATGCTGCCTTAACCATAAGAGATATATGAATGCTTTCTACAGAAAAGTTGTAAAGATTAAAAAGAGCTGTAATGAAATCCGCGACGACATATAGTTTTATGTTAAGGTTAATTCATAAATTTATAAATATGCCAAGCGGGTGAATCCGCGGACCCATATATATAATAAAGTAATTCAAGTCCAATGACTCCAACATAATGCTTTCGAGGGATGTTCAAAATTAGTTTAGGACAGTTTTTAGAGAAGCAGGTGATTGTTAGATGGATGTGGCTAGAAAAACATCCCACACGTTCACCAAATTATACATTTTTACTCGTGCGACATGAAAAGGAAAAATTCCGACAAAGAAATGTGTTTATGTTCGGTAAGCCTAGCTTTTATCAATAACTTGACAAATCCTGTATGCTGGAAAACTTCCGATAGTATATATTTTAATTTCAACGCTTTCGGCGAAAAACCACTTCCTGGACGTCCCTAGGATGTGATGGTATTTACTTCCAATGCATACTTTTGTATAACTTGTTTAAATAAAGTAACCCAGTTTATTAAATATTCTCTTGGTTATTGCGTATGTAGGCAAATAAAAAAAAACATGAAAGTAGTTAATACATTCGTTCTTAATTCCTAAGGTTAATATTTAATGATATTAAAGTGTTTTTACCCAAT